TCACCTCAAGTACAAATCTGGGGGGCATGTGCCTCCCCATGCTTTCCTCCTCAGAAGTGCACACAGTGGCAGGGTGCCAACCTCTTCCTCCGCTGCCACCTGGACAAGTCACCTGTGGCTCTGTTCTACTCCCCACCCTGGCCCTGGGCCCCATGCACTGCCTTGGCTGGGCAGCACCCCCAGGCCCACCCCCATCACCACTCCCTCCCTCACCATGGGAGCCTCTATCTCCCCACCATAGACTTAACTGCAGGCAGCTGGGGTAGCTGCTCTCCAGTGCTGCCTAGGGCTGTATTCCTGGCCACATGCATATGTGTGCATGCACACATGCACACAGTACCCCTTGCATCCCTCTCCCTGCAGCTTCTTGCAGGTTGGAACTCTGCCAGCCTGCAAGGGGAACCTGCCATTTCCCATATTTTTCCATAGTGAATGGAAAACCCAGATCCTAACACACCTCCCAGCCTGCTGGCTACTGCAGAGAGCAGGGAGCACATGATTCCCCCAACCACAACCCCACCTCAGGCTCTGAGCTGGCTGAGGAAGGCGTAGGGGAGGACCCCCCTCTTGGCCCAGCACTGGACACCTAGCCAGGAGCATCCCAGCATAGGGCAAGAGGAAGGAAGTCTGAACGGGTGACTTTCTTCTGTCCACCTGGAGCCCAGAGCAGGGCTGGAGTCCCCCAGCCACACTCCTTCCTCAGTCTTGAAGCCAGCTGGGTGAAAGTAAAGCTTACATCAGATCCTGGCTCTGCCCCCTGGAGCTAGGAGTGGGGCTGGAGTCCCACAGCCATTCCTTCCTCCTTGGTCTCTGAGCCAGCTCAGGGGGGGTGACAGGGAAGACCATACCAGGGCTTGGTGCCACTCCCCAAAGCCAGGAGCTGGGAGCAGGGCTGGATTCCCTCAGCCACACCCCACTCCTCCATCTCTAGTCTGGAGACTGAAGAAGGGGCACAACTGGGAGACTCCAGCCCCACTTCTGGCTCCCAGAGGAGGAGCCAAGTCCCTCTTTCCCCTCTGTGCTAGGCTGCACCTGTCTGGGGGGGGGGG